GCGAGTACACACTACGTAAATAGTTTCTCGTACCCCATAACGGTGTTGTCACGTCATCGTCTTCTATCTCATTGGTGGTTCATAGTCCATCTGCCTGCGCAAACAGCTCATGTCCATGTATCTTCCCAGTTATGCGAGCCATTTCACAGGCTTTCTGGGGTATTGATAGTCGACGGCGTCGCAGGATCGTCGTGGTTGTTCGAATTTGGAAGAACCTGCTTACAGATACCTCAATAGCGTCCCTGTAGCATTTGGTAGCATTTTGCCAGGATGGATTGGGTATCCGCGAATAGATATGCTGTAGTCCGCAACATCGGGGCATTCGCCGGAGTTGAGCAGTCGATGGCTTGCGGGAGTGAGAAGATATTCGAGTAAGGATTTATACCGCATATCTGGTACTCCGCATTTGCAAAAGTGCTGCAGATCAATGTCATGATGCACAGAAGATGTACTCCTAGAGTGGTGCTCACGGCTCTTGCAGAACTGGTAGTTGGTTGGACGGATGTTGGATTACCATATGCAAGAGGGACATTCTGTGCATAGCATGGTGGTGTACCACAAGTACACGTCCTCCCCATCGTAGTTGTGTTGGTGTATGGTACGCCGTTTGTAAACGGAAATGAGCGTTGACGGAAGAAAGGACGTCTGAGATAGAATCCCCGCTGGTTGATGAAGGATCTTGGCACAAATTACGTCATTCTTTGTCCTTGTCTGTACTTGTTTTGCGGGATATTTGGTTTCCTTGGTGGAGTTGCTTTCATCCGGTTTAACTGTTCGAGGCGATTAGTGAGAAGTGCATTGACCGCTTGAAAAGTCTCCCTGTTCTCGTTCCTCTCCTGTTCCAGAATCCGATGTTCCTTCTCTGCTCTGCATACTATAGCCTCAAATTCTTCCGTATCGGGGAGTCTCCTAATCGCCTTCCTAATCTCCGGGTTCAGACCTTTGATAAAGAAATCAATGGCCATACGCGTCACAACCTTCTCTCCTTGGCCTTGGAATGCGATTTTTGTTTTGTTGTAAATCTTCTTCGCGAACTCTCCAACGGTGTCCTTCCCTTGAGTCATATGGTGTAGCTCGTCACGAGTTACTGAGCAGCGAATCGTTCTTTAGTCTCGTGGCCAATTCCGTTACTAGATCCTTCCATTTCATCTTATCGTGATTGGAGATTTGCTGGTACTTGAATTTCGCTCCTTACGATAAGAACAACGGAAGCAGCTTTTTCGCTACCTCATGGGAAATAGCAAAGCGTTGCACGATATCCTTGTATTCATCCAGGAACTCTTCGAAGGTCTTATCCTCATTACCGGAGAATTTATCCAGTCGACTTTCCAGGATTTTGGAGGCTTGATATACTTGTTTCGGGATCAGCTCCTCAGCCTCGGAATCATCCACGTCCTCCGGCATAGTTGTTCTTGACTGAATCCTTGCGAGTGATTGTTCTCTAAATTGATCTCTGCGCAGCCGCCGTAGTAGCCTTTCGCTGACCTTTGGAGTTTCTATGCGCTCCAACGACAGTTTGCTGTAACAGAGTATTAAAAAAGAACGATGCTGGGCGACGATGCTGTCGTGCAAGTGTACTAAAGCCCAATTTGCATAGAGGTCATAGGGAGTAATGAGATATCAGGTATCAAAAAAGGTCTTTTTTCTTCTTCTTCTTCTTCACTTCCTCAAATCCATTTCTAACTTGTAGCTTATGTCGGGGTATGTTGCAATGATTGAATACATATAGCAAACTGGGGTGAAGAAAGAAATTTCTATGGCCGATACAAATAAATTTCCCCAAAAGCTTAGATAGAGTCGCTTTTGGTCACCCATATCTGTCATCTCAAAGGGAGGAGGTGGCGAAAATTCATGGTAGGCGGTTCTGGCCGGTGGGGAAAGTTAAACTTTATGCAGCTCTAACAGGAAGTTAGAATTGAAATAGCAGAAAAAATTGAAGTGTTTACTCCTACTTTACTAATACTTACAGCAAAATATTTCCCGTTGTTCACTATCACTACCAGGTATAAACGAGCAAAAGGCTTTTCCCTAATTGCTTATTAAGCTGTGCCAATTTGAGCACACAAATTGGACAATCGCGACTTCCAGCAACGGGTTAGAGATGTTTACGTATTTTATATTTGTGTATGTCTATCTATCTGTCACGAAGTTCATAGGACATGTTCCAGCCAAACTCCTGAGCTCAACCCCTGCACAACGCATACTACCGACATGAAAGTCCAGTATACTGAAGCACGAGAGGATAAACTGCGTAGATTCCTCAAAAAAGTGAGCACCAACCAGATCTACTCAGCTTTTGACCCGTAAAATTAGGCCTGTGGCGCACGGCTGTTGCAAGAAGTGGTTGAGTTCGAGGCCGGAACCTCCATGTAAGGCTGATATATTATTCATCGTGCAGCGGGGTCTCTATTTTCGCTATAGTCTATATCATTCAGCCTTAACCCATTATCATAAATTTTCATGTCGCAGTCCCGAGGCGTGGCCGGAGAAAGTCCCAATGACAATAAAATGTTGCAATCTTGGTTTCTTGTACTACCGAACTAGAACGCCATAAATAACTAGTCGGGATCTAGCCACGTTGAAACGCCGCCAATATATCTGCATCTGCACCGTCTCCCAACAACCATTTATTCCCAGCTCAGAGAACACATACACGATCTCACTACATAACTCATCCCCGCTCTATGACCTTGCGTCATAGACAAAATCAATCAAGATAGTGAAAATTACAGATAACACGCGAAATGAAAGTAAAAGGATTGTTCATAGGAACAAAGAGGTCACAAGGGCGACTGACGGGCCTCCGAAGAGGAGGCCCCCATGAGGAAAGAGGAGGAAATAAGAAGTAACAAGCAAAGACAAAGCTTATACTATACTACTCTGATACAACAAATTCTGTGGTGCTTATATACTGCTTTACCGGGCGACCGGGCGCTACAAGTTCTTTTACTTCTCTTCTCCAAATTTCCTTTCTGTCGTCCGCCATTAATTGTCTAACAAAGGCATGAGTAATCTCTGGAAGCCACTTCTTCCTTCCTTCCGGTACCATTGTTACTACAACTTCTAAGAAGCAATTAGTTTTTCCTCCTTTACAGTCGGGCGCATGATCGAGGCTTCCAAGTACGATCAAAAGCGTTTCGTGCATAATCGAAAGTTACCCTACATTGTTCTATTTGTGGGATAGTATTTTTTACCACATTGTACGCGATTTCACTCTAGCCTCTCTGTTCCTCATTGTAGCCTTCTTCCTACGACTTCGAGTACTCGGAACTTGTACTCTGTCAGAACTGATTTTCTGTGGAGCGGGCCAGCTCGAAGAGGCAATGTCAAAACTTGAGGAGAACGCCACTGTCATCTTATATATAAAGCTGAATGTCTGTTTGTCTGTCTGTCTGTATGTCTGTATGTGTGTACGTATGTTCCGAATAGAAAATTCCATTTCTGAACCGATCGGGACCAAACTTGGCACACATACACTTCGGGCCCCTGCGGGTGTCATAGGCTACTTTTCGTATCGATCGATATCGATTTTTTTGCAAAATTTGAGCTACGGGGCTGGGAGTTGGCACAGGGGGTAAGTGAGCATGGGGATTCCGAATACAATATTAGTTTTTAAAATCGTGCATCTTTTATCGATTTTATCGATTTTTTGCAAAGTTTGAGCTACGGGGCTGGGATTTGGCACAGAGGGGTAATCGAGCATGCTGATTATCCCCGTGGGGGTGATCAGCATGCTCGATTACACCCCTCTGCCAAATTCCAGCCCCCTAGCTCAAATTTTGCAAAAAATCGATAAAATCGACAAAAGTAATGCACGGTTTCGAAAACTAACATTGTATTCGTAATCAGCATGCTCGATTACACCCCTCTGCCAACTCCCAGCCCAGCAGCTCAAATTCTGCAAAAAATCGATAAAATCGACATCGATCGATAACGAAAAGTGGACTGTGACACCCGCCGGGGCCCGAAGGGTATGTGTGCCAAGTTTGGTCCGGATCGGTTAAGAAATGGAATTTTCTATTCGGAACATACGGCGGAGCCGGGTAAGCCAGCTGATAGTAGATAAAGTATCTTAAATGGAAAGAAATGGTTTGTGGTAGTGCATTTATTTGCAAATTTGAAATAAATGTCTTATCTCTTCGTTCTTTCTTCTATCTTCTATCCACAAACGCTAGGGGTGAGAGGGAGGGGGTAAAGAACGGGGTTGAGGGTCGCGCTGAACTCTTACCCGGGGGGTCGTATTCGGCTGATTTGGGTGGGGTTTAGACAAAATTGGGGTTTGGAGCTTAATTAGGGCTTACAGTCTGCCGCGGCATACTGTAATTAGCCCTAATTAAAGGCAGCTTCCAGGCAGATCTGGACCTATGGGGCTTTTACATGGAAAGTACTTTTGGGGCCCTAACTAAGGCACTGCCGAAGCAGCAGCTCAGGTAGTGCTCCAATGGCTGAGATATTCCCCTCGAAACAGACCCCCGCGAACGTATTCGCATGGATTCATGGCAGTTTCGCACCAGGAACCACGCTTTGCGCCATGAATCCATGCGAAACACGGTCGCGGGGTCCAGTTTCGAGCAGAATATCTCAGGCGTTACAGCACTACCTGAGCTGCCGGTTGGGTAGTGGCTTAGTTAGGGCCCCAAAAGTACTTTCCATGTAAAATCCCCATAGGTCCAGACGTGCCTGGACGCTGCCTTCAAGCTCCAAACCCCAATTTTGTCTCTAAACCCCACCCAAATTAGCCGAATAGGACCCTCCCCCCGGGTAGGAGTTCAGCGCGACCCTCACCCCTACTCTACCCCCTCCCTCTCACCCTTAGCGTTTGTGGATAGAAGATAGAAGAAAGAGAAGAGATAAGACATTTATTTCAAATTTTTCAAACTTTCGAAAAATCATCTTATATCGTTAATCATTTCACCCACTGGTGTAAAAAAATGAACCTTTCCAACAAGACAACGGTTTGTGGAACAGTTTAAATTGCAGTCGCAGTTGGCCCGTATTATTTATTTGCTTGCATATTTGAAGAACGAATTTTCTCCACTGATGTCATCGGGAACAGCGCCAAGATTGAATTTGTTGTTTTGATGAGCCAGTGCTAGAGATGCTCGTCGTAAATTGCGCTCCTCATCTGCTCCCTATAAAACAAAAGAATAACGTAAACTCTGAGACTTAAGAAAATGATTGGAATCTGTTAACGGATACTAATCGAAACTTGTCAAACAGTTACTTGAAACAAACTTTAGCTCCTCCGACGGTATACGATAGTATGGGGAAAACAAAATTCCACATTTGGGTTGTTCAATTTCTCACTTCAGGACGAACAATAGCTACCCTACCCTTAAGGATCCCTAAGTAAAGAAAATATACTTGCTAAAGTAAAAAGTCTCGAAAAGACCCGACACCTTTCCCAAGATACGTTCGCGTGCTTCACGTGCCGGATCCTAAAATATTTCGATTTATAGGCAAAGATCGAGTATCGAATAAACTAGTTCCAGGGCAAAAACGGTCGAGTGATGTGACAAACTTTCCAAAACGTAACTTACCGCAACGATTGTGAAATCGAACCGCACATAGATAATTACAACGGTAAAGAGTGCAAAGAAAAATGCCGTGGCGAGCAATGGTTCGCGGATCATTTGCGAGAACTCAATCGTAAAACAGCTGAAAATGTATGACATAATTTCCAAATTCTAGCAAAAAAGAACATCGATTTATTCAGATCGAAGAGCAACTCACAGTGAAAGACTGGATATGCTCTGGAACAAAGTTTTCTTTCTGCAACACTATAACTGTTCTGCCAGTTGTGTCCAAATATGTAGCGCGGACTTCATCGGGTCTTCTATCCATGCTTTATGGTGTGATAAGCCTCGCTTTTCTAAAATCAAACATGAATTTTAAAAAGCAGAGATGCGTTACACATCGGAAAAGGTTAGGTGCAATGTGTAACAAAGGGTGGCTTGTTTGTCGAGCACCCCAATTATATGTTGGTTCCTTCTCAACAATTTAAACTATATGACCCTTTTTCTCAAGACTGACAGTGGTGATCAAGAGCTTACCTTATCATTTCTGGCAGGATGATCTTCGTCGTAAGCTTTTCAACCACAGCATTGTCAAAAATATGGTCGAGAACTCTCATTTTTAGCGCATAATTATTGCCCTTATTGTAAAGACATTCGAAAGAAGGCACATTATAACCGATAACGTAGGAAGTGCGCCATCCTCCAAAAAGCGGGAATCTGAACGATAAAAAGGAATAAAATATTAACAGAGGCAATAAGTACGTGACATGTAACTCGGTTTCAGTTCGACATCAACAGAATCAGCGCGAAGTCGCACAGCTGATGTTGATATGTTTCCAATCTCATCTCTATAGTATATATCCTTGGCCGACGCTGGTAAAATCGTCTAAATGGGTAAAGTGGAGCCTATTGAAAAAAGTGCTTCTTTGTAGCGATTCTATACAAGCTAATAATGAATAATAGCTAATATATGCGTCTATGAGTCGCCTATAAGATTCAAACAAAGATTACATACACTTTTCTCGCTAGCAAGGAACCACCACTGAGGCACGAGCCACGCATACTTTACCTTTCTGTTTCTTATCTGGCGTTGCATGAGACTGGTTCATGCTGATCCCTAAGCTCCGGAACAGTGCCAACACAGTGCCCGAACTGTGCGCTGTGCTGGAACTGTTCCGGAACATACGGATCAGTATGAATCCAGTCTAAGAGAATGAAACAAGCGAGATCTGACAACACCAAATGGCAAATCATCAGTGCTTTTGGAACACTGTATTTTCTTCTAAATCGGATGAAGTCAAACTTTGTGGAATATGCCTGCTCTGTATAGCAGAACATTGCAAAAATGGAAAGTGTGAAGATCCCACCTGAGATGACAGATCGATAGTCCTCTCGACATTAGCCACTTTCCAATCAGCAGCAAACGCCACTCCCACAATGAGGATCAGTGGCATTGAAGGCTCGCGCAACTGGGGGTTCATTTTTATCTAAAACGGACCTCATTTGTATAACCAAAGCTGTAGAAGTGAAAGCTTACTCCTTTCCACGCTGATAAATGCAGATGCGTTGGCTTTCAGACCTCCATCGTCTTCCACAACGGCATAAACACGTAATGACCCTCTATCAGCCCCGATGCTGTTGCTTTGGCTTTGTCGGCATTCACCAACAAAGCATTTGCAGGACCTCTAAAACAAAAAAGAAGTAGAATTCGGTTTTGGATTGAATAGAAGCCTTACGAGACTTGTGTCCACTGGTAGCTAACAATGCTGCCATCGTCCTTAGCATTGCCATTAAGAACGATGGAAGATTCGGGAAGTGTATGATTACCGCCAGCATCAGCAACTAAAATTGTGATTTCATAAGATCAGAACTCAATTTCACACGGTAACACAGCAGCATGGAGCCATTGAAGAAGAACAGAGAATAATTGAATTCAAAAAAAAACATAACATAAAAGTGCGACATTCAAGAAACAACTCGCGTGTAGGCAGATTTCGAGCTTAAGCTGACACTGAAGGTGATTGAGTGCAACCGCACGAAAATTTGAAACATAAACCTGAAAACGAGGAACTTACAACAACATAAAGGCCAACGCGACGAAGAGCAACGCGGAAAAGAAAAAAAACGGTAAAGAAACGCGCAAAAACAACAAAATCAAAGAAACGGCGACTAAAATATGGACAAAGAGCGTAAACAGAGGACTCATCACCGTGGAGTTAGACGTTTGCTTGCTACGCGCCAAATCGATACGCAGCCTGCTCCGGATACCTTCCCATTTTCTGCTCCGGATACCTCCCATTTTCTGCTCCGGATACCTCCCATTTTCTGCTCCGGATACCTCCCATTTTCTGCTCCGGATACCTCCCATTTTCTGCTTCGGAGGCCTCCCATTTCTGCTCCGGACCCCCCCCCCCCATTTTCTCCGGCGCGGCTCTTCCAAATTTGGCGGACTCGCGCCGGGCAAATTTCTCCGGCTCGGAGTCCGCCAAATCTGGCAGAGTCGCGCCGGAGAAATGGCGGACCTTTGCAGCAGGGCCGGAGAAGCCTCCCACTTGCCTGCCAGTGATGTCACCGCGACGGACCGCCCATTTGCCCCTCTCTCATTGGTCAACTGGGTCCGGCGCGACTCTGGCAGATTCGGACTGTCCGGCGGAGGGGTCCCGTCGATTGTCTGAGAGGGCATCAATGTGCTGTCATTGAAAATGTGAAAAGTAATCATAGCAGCGATGGTGTCAAAAATAGGTAGTTACTCAAAGGCTTATCGGGTTGCAATTAGCCACAGTTTTATCCGTTGTCTGAAGTTGAGTGCGAAGTCCTAAGGTCATGTCAGAGTACTAGAATAGATAGGCTTTCAAACAATAGAATAATAGGCTTTCAAACAGAGGGTCACAGTCGGCGCTCTCGCGAGCCAAGGATACGGTATTTTCCTGGGCCTAACGTGTGGAAAAATACGTATCCTTAGGCATTAGGCTGACAAACTGGGGAAATGCTCCTTAAGCCCGCTAGCGACGCGGGGTGTGGCCTAGGCGACGCGGCTCTCTAGAATCCAGCCGCGGCAGAATGGAATTCGCTATCATTTCAATCTGTATGTGTGCATGCACCGAGCGCGGCGAGGGATACCTTATGTAATTGTTGAAATCTTCTTTTAGAAAAACCGTTTGTGGAGATGTGTAATACTACCTGTAATACGATATGCATTTGCATCTAATCAAAACAAAAGAGGGAGAGAGAGGAAAACAAAGAGACAATACAAGTCACGTGTGATGCGAGTAGGAATATTAAGTTACAAATGACTCGACCAAATATATCTCTGATCCTGTAATACTTACATTAGGTAGGCGCAGTGCAGGATCATCCTTCCCATAACAATTCACCAGGAGATGAGATTATTGGATCTAACAACGGTTTTATCAATTTCATTGCAAAAACTTTTAAGATGAACTTGGGAGACAAGCAGGCGCATTTTAGAGCACACAATCGTCGCCACGGCCAGTCACAGTATTCGATCCAAAAGTAGCTACTTGTTGACTACCTCAATTACCATATGCTGAAGAACACTACACGCACCTTGTAGCCGATTCCATTGGAGCCGAACATTGGTGCAGCAAACTCATGATGCGAATCAGAAAAACGCATGCAATATGGCCTGAAATCAAAAAATCTTATGCAACAGCTGTGCAAAGAAGGTATAAAAGATAGAACATATAAAAAGGCTCTTCGCAGAGCGAGCAGTCATCACGTCTCTTCTTCCCTTTTCGTGAGCAATATTATCATTTGTTTCAGAACTGAAACAGTTACTAGTGCAAATCGCGCAGTCTTGAACGAAGATGCTGCAAATAATTGTGATTGTCATGAGTTTTGGTGCCTTGAAGGCTATACAGCAGAAATACGGGTGTAGGACGATTCGCACGAGCGTAATGCTTTCCACACAGGACCACCGCCGCGCGCGACACATCTTGCGGCGGCTTTTGCCTAAGCAAAACAGGGGGAGGAAAGATTTGCGGCGTGCATTACATGTCAAGACAGGTCAAAATCAGGGAGACTCTGGAGACCGCCCGTGCGAGAAGACCATCTCCCCAGAAATACTGCTTAAAAGATGGAAAAGTATGTGATTCGAGCCATTCCTGTTTGTATACTCACATGATACGGGGATGATTCTAGACTTAGAAAAGGATGTTCGATATATGGCACTTATGTACGAAGGGACTATCAAGGAGGCCTAGCAAGCCATGCTAGAGAATCAACGTTTTCAAAGTTTCCGCGATAGAGAAGTTCAAAGATTCCGATTGTTTCTTGTTAAAAAGTCTTATGAGACTCATACTGCTTCTGTTACAAGAGATACGCACTGGTTCTTAGTTTAACTTAAAGTTTGGTTTTTTTTTTCGCAGCACCTACAAAGGCATTGATTGACACCTAATTATAGCCCTATATGTCATCTAAAGTTTCAAGAAATTTTTTAAAGAGTAAAACTGTAACTTGTAATTACCAAGGTAGAATTTGCAACTCAGCCATGACGACGTGGAGGTGGGAGTGCAGGTTCGAATCCTGGCGCGCAAGACGCTCGAAGCGTTTTGGATAGTCGCCCAAAATCCAGAAATAAACCGCAAGGAGGAGTGCCTAGCCATTTCTAACGAACTGTCACCATATCAGAGCCTCTGTGGCTTTTGAATAATGAGGTCAGGTCAGACCGGGTCACTTGTTAACTATAAAAGTATGGCAGTACAGTTTTTGATTTAAGTGGTCTGCACCCACCAAATTATCATCTGCTAAGGTGAGCACTAGCTTAATCTGGGTTTTGGTTGAGGCTGTTGTTTTTTTTAGAGGGTTGAGCTCCTTTCTGTAGTCGACGAGGTGCTTGATCGGATAGTTTACTTATGTGTTTTCGACTTTTCAAACTCTGAAGAAGGCGAGCTCGCCGAAACGTTAGTCTGTTCTGCGATAAAGTTCTGTACCAATTTTGGACTACGCTCAAGCAACTAGCGAGAAGAATTTGCAACTATTTACCTTTTGTTCCTTCAACTCGATATAGCGCCACTACGGTAGCACGTAGTTAATACACCAAATTCAGTGGACGGAGGACGCATTTGATTGTAAGGACGTCTTGCAGCATCACTCTACAATTTGGCCTATAGCACTAGCGCAATTACAAAGCCGGACGTTGGTAAAGCTACTGAGCAGAATCCAAGAGCCAGTGCTTGTTGGTTGGTATGTAGAAATTTTTAAATTAGCCTTAACTTGTCACGTAAGATTTACTATGGTTGAAAAGTCTTAAGAAAATAACATGCAAAACAACATTTAGAATTTTTCAGAGCCACTTGAGATTTCAAAGCAATGATGCATATGTATAAGAAGTGTTAGGCCCGTTTAATATTGCAACAATGGCTACGACTTTCTCAGTGTGTGCGAAAATATTCGCTCGACGTTCATGCTTATACAGGGTTGTTAGGCCCGTTTAATATTGCAACAATGGCTACGACTTTCTCAGTGTGTGCGAAAATATTCGCTCGACGTTCATGCTTATACAGGGTGTCTCAAAAGTATGTATGCACGGTTTGATCGTTAATATGTCTCTTCCCAAGAAGTCTTTTGCCTTGCTTTAGGTACCATTTTGTAGAGCTGGCTTCAACTTAGATTTTCAGTATAGAACGAATCACCCATCTCTCTTCGTTACTGTAGGATTATGGTAGAAATTTCAAAGAGGGTTTTGAGCCATAAAATGCCATATTTTGCCTCAGAAAGAAATCAAAACAGTCTGAAAACTTTTACACTAGGATAATTAGAGTTGCTGATTTTGAATGTAAGGTTTCCAACTTATTAAGATGCTTCATTAAAGAGTTATGCCAGGTAAGAGGTAGCGGCCGTTTTTCAATGTTGCTAGAAAGTGCGGTTACACCGTTTAGAAAGCTTCGCAACCTTGTGAATAGTTGAGTATTGAAGTCAGCGTTCATAAAAACCCTATTACACAAGTTTACACATTTTATTAAAACATTTTGAAATGGCAGCTCTTTCCACATTACACCATATGTTTCGAGTTCCTCCCGTAATCCTACAGTAATGAAGAGCGGTCGGTGATTCTCTCCATGCTATAACTCTAAGTTGAAGCCAGCTCTACAAGGCGGTACCTGAAGCAAGACGAAAGACGTCTTGGGAAGAGAGATATTAACGATCAAACAGTGCATACATACTTTTGGGACACCCTGTATAAACGATATACAGGGCATCCCAAAACATGTATACACCAGTGGTGTACCGAAGCTTGTTTTCACTTGTAATTAATTAAAATAATTTTAAAAAATTTTTAAAAATTTAAATTAGCCTTGTAAAAAAAATTTTTTGGAGCGTGGCTGCCGTCACGCCCCCTTTTTCTGAAATTTTGGGGTCGGGGGCCTGGAAAAATTTTGGGAACATCCCAAAAAAATTTTCGAAGCGCCACGCACCTTCACTAGAAAAAATTTTTCGTTCCCCCCCCCTCCCGAGCCGAAATCCTAGGTACGCCACTGGTATACACTGTTTGATCGTTAATAACTCTCTTCCCAAGAAGTTTGTTTTACTTTAGGTACTACTTTGTGGAGCTGGCTTCAACTTAGATTTTTTTAAAGTACGAAGCGATCACCGTTCGCTTATTACCGTAAGACTACGGTAGGAACATTTGGCTTACAGCTTGCATTAGTCGTGTTTCAAAAAAGTGTTCAAAAGTTCTAAAAAGTAGGGTGTCAGGAAATTTACGCGCTGATCGCATTACTTAACTTTTCAAGAGTTTGTAGAGCTAGATGGTGTAAGCACAGTTTCAGAGAGCATTTTAAAGACATTTATTGCAGCTTACCTGGCATGATTTATGAGGGAAGCATCGCGTGAAACGCAAAGTTCATATTTGGTTTTAGCGACTTCGAATAGCCTAGTGTAAGAGCTTCAAGGTTGTTTGGTTTGCTTTTTGAGGCAAAAGAGCCTTCAATGGCTCAAAACCCTTCTTGAAGTTCCTACCGTAATCTCACGATTCGCTCTATGCGTTGAATATAAGTTGAAGCCAGGTTCACAAAATTGTACCTAAAGATCGGCCAAAGACATCAAGAAAGTTATTCTTTTGGGACACCTGCATGAAAAATGTCTTTTAACTAGGAACACTATGGAATAAAGCATTTGTCATCTCTTCCAGCTAATTAGTTAAATCACAGCATCTTTTCTTTTTTGACTATTTGATCTCAGCAAGAATAAACATCTTTTCAGAATAGTACTGGTGCAGAGGATAAACAAGCTATAAGCGAAGCAGGGAGCACATGCCACATGTGCATTATGCAGCAAGACAGCCAAGTATGACTGTGAGGATGACATAAGTGAGCGCTACAATTCAATCGTTTCTCTTTGGAAGCTTACCTTTCATACAATGATTACCACTACCCTCACTGTCTTGTACGTAAACGCCTTTAATTTGGATGTATTATATTTGAGCTCTAATTCGACTTCCGGTTGACGAACTCTGCTGGCAACATTAGAACATAGTACCTCGTTTAAGCGTCAGCCCTTACAGCTTTTGCCTTGCAACATACTTTTATTTTTGGAGAATTGCAAAACTCATTCAGTTTTGGTGCAGACCGCTTAAAAAATTTTTACTTTGAAATGCACAGAAAGATTTTCACGGTGGTAGAACAGTCAACGAGTCTAGATAATCAATGCTGTAGACAGGGTTTTTACTGTGCACCTTCGCAGGATCTGCGCTCATAACAAATGTCACTCTCACACGAATGTCTTTGCACATTTGTGGTTTGAAAAGAATACATATTTGATATACATCTTACAGTCTATGAATGTGACGTATTCAAACTTATTGCGCTGACGAAGAGTGGAGCAAAACTCTTGATTTGGCAAACAAGTGTCCACAAACGTGTGGACTGTGCGACCAGAGAAGTCCAGGTAGTTCATGAGCTTTTATTCAAATGAGAATCAAGATTCAAAGTATATAATTTGACTTATGGCTCAATCGGACAAAGTTTTATATGTGACGTAGTGAATAGAATTGAAGCTGCACAGAGCTAACTTTGTATCTAGCTTTTAGAAGAAAAAAAATATACATTCACTCAATCAACATGATTCTAGAGACTAGAGCCAGTTGTTTCATAGCCGCATCAATACTGAAGAAAGTCAAGTATGTCACTTTACTCACCCATACTTTTTTTGAGAAAAAAAGAAGAGATTATGAGCGAAGTAAGTTATCTTCCAACCGAGCAAACCATCCGCAGTGCAATGAGTGTTTTACTCCATCTGATCAAAGACTCTTCATTTCTTCTCCCTTCCTCTTGCTCATAGTAAACGTTTTTTTCCAATAATAACTGAGAATTTCAACAGAATCTGTCATCGACGCAAGTACCTATTTTTAAACATGTAGGTGCAAACAGGCAAAGGCAGGCTGTAGCTTCTTTGGAGCAACTTCAAGATTTTTCAGCACTAAATCAGAGAAAAACAGGGGTAGAACATTCCTACACTAAAGATAATTTCGTGCTATATTTTGGATGCGAAGATGCAATGGAAAATTGCGACAAAACTTTGTGCGAAATCAGAGCCTTTAGGGATATAACGAAGGTGGGAATAGCTTACAAATGAGAGCGTCGTCTGTGTTTATTTTTACCATCATATACAGATAAGTACTACCGAAATGATGTGCTTGCCCTGAGCTTGAAGACACCACCCGTTTGGATTGAAGGTGGTGAATTAACGAATGCTGTATGATAATAGGCCTCCTGATTAAGTAATTGTTCAAGTCCCACTGCAAAAAAAGACTTCCATAAGGAGAAATTTACTTTAGAAGGAACTGCTGACACGTCGATCTCGCTGATCAACGTGAGAGGTCCGGAAGTGATGTGAGGTAGAGCTCTCAGTCGCTACATATGTCGATTGAAGTCTAGTTTAGCACAAATTACTTGATTCGCGAAGGAAGTGACAAACTTATCAGTAGTTCACTTCTGAAGCGATTTTCTCTCCTCAGATTTCATCTTTTGTAACGGAATTTGGCAGTCATTCAGCCACTCAGATAATCGCCGGGGGCAGGCGGTCCGCAAACTCGCGCTTTTCTGCAAGCGGTCAGCAGAATTTTGGGGCGTGGCCAAACCTTCAGCGAGCGGTACTTCCTTTGCTGTCGCATGTTCTGCCAGCGGGCAGCAACACAGGATTTTCTGCAGGCGCTCGTCAAATAATCTCTTTCGGCGAGCGCTGGTCAAGTTTTCAGCTGGCGCTCGGACGGTTCATAAGCGGTTTCGGGCGTACGCCGAGCAAAGGTGAGACTCTGCATAGCAGAGGTGTCATCGATGGTTTAATTACTCAAGTTTGAGGTACTTTCTCTCAGCGGAAAGTACCTGGGGGCTGCGCGGTCCTCCACAAAGGACCGTGCGGCTCTCAATAATTTTGCATGTTCTCGCGGAAAATCCGCGAGAATGCGGCCACTGCGCCGCAGCTAATCTGTGAAGAAACCGCGATTGTTCTTCAAGCATTCGTCTTTGATTTCGCCAACTTTCTTCCAAATTTCCGCAAGCGGGCCGCAAAAAATCAACGAACTATTTTTCCGGTGCCCGCTTGCTCAAAATTCGCATGGCCGCTTGCCCCCGGCGATTATCTGAGCAGGGGCCCCGCTCACCCTCGGTGGAAAAGATTTAGTTTGCATAACAAGTCTCATTAGGAGCTGTAACGTAGAATCCTATTTACTGATCATAAAATTGTTGGTTTATGATAAAACTAGGTAGTGCTTTGTTTACCTAGAAGGTACACCAATTTTTTATCCGAATTTTCGTTATTCTATTAGGTTGATGCATAATCCTTGCACCAAAATAGTATACTTGGTTCCTAATCGAATAGAAATTCGATCATTCGAATAAAACATTCGAATATATTCGCATTCGAAATTCGATATTCGGAGTTCTTCCATTTTCGAATAATATTCGAAACTCGAATAATTGAGAAAACGGGGTTTCGAATAAAACTCGAAACTCGAATAATCAAAAAGCAGGGTTTCGAATAAGATTCGAAACTCGAATATTTGAGAAAACGAGAATTTGAATAAAATTCGAAGACTCGAATAATCAAAAAACGGCTTTTCGAGTAGATTTTATTTGAATGTTTTATTCGAATGTTTATTCGAATTCGTATTCCGATTATTCGAGTTCATTGCAGAGCCAACCGCTGAGTATCAAGCTCACTTCATCCGCGTTTTTTTCCGCAAAACTCTGTAATCATCTTCTTGCAACCGTGATGAACTTTGAACTGTAACCTTTGGAACTTAAAAAAAATTTTGAGTTACGGGACTGGGAGTTGGTACAAGGGGGTAAGTAGGGGGTGCTGATTACAAATAAATCTTTGTTTTATCGATTTTATCGATATTTTGGAGAACAGCTACGGGGCTGGGAGTTGGTACAAGGAGGTAAGTGAGGGTGCTGATAATGGATGAAAATATTTGATTTATCGATTTTGTCGATTTTTGGGAAATTTAGATCAGGAGTTAGTGTAAGGGATACGAGCGTGCTGATTATGAATGGATCGGCTTTAATTAGATACGTCGGCAAGTTTGAGATATGGTTGTTCCACTTATTCGCTAAATCATTCGAATATTTATTCGAAACTCGACTTTCAATGTTCGAATATATTCGATATATTTATTCATTCGATACTTTTGATTTTCCGAATTTATTCGGAATTCATTCATTCGAGAATTTTTGAACCTCGAATTTATCCGACGTTCGCTTATTCGAGATTTTTTATTTTCGAATTCATTCGATATTCGTTTATTCGAAATTTTTCATTTTCGAATTTATTCGATATTCATTCGTTCGATGATAAATTTCGAATTTACCCAAATATACATAATAGGCACAGACCGCAATAATCCGGAATAATTCTATATCCCAAATGGGATTCGATATATCATCAGATAGATCAAACCTAGCTCTACAAGATAGTGCTTAAAGATTTGCAGCAGTTTTGATCCAAGCGAAGATTGAAGCCAAAAACAAAAAAGATATAAGCGCCTCGAAAAACCAAGAAAACATTGGGAGTACGTTCAAAAAAATCCTTTAAAATTCTGCATTGTCATTTTGTATAAGAAATTTCTCTATGGTTGCTGCATTTTTCTCTCACAAGGGAATGATTAGAAGTCGAAGTGGTCAATCCAAACAAGCTGCATACCATTCGATGCAGCATAGAACGCTGATTTCAAATCTGCCTTTCATATCTGCAGAGGGCTTTTAGGCGAGGTTATGAGCAATTTTACTGCAAAAAAATCGTACACAAATAATGTGAGATTAGGCACGCTATTGCCCTTTTAGCTCAGTTTTGAATACGGACCATATGAAAAGGCCTAGTTGCATGTTTTAGTCCGGCACTGAGCCGAGAGTGGCTCCGTACGGCCAAGTTTGACCTTTCCACGCACGATTTCTTAGCAAAATAATGGCCTTTAACGGCTTATAATTTCATCCACAAAAGCGCTCTGCAGGTAAGAAAAGCAAATTTGGAGTCAGCGTTTTATGCTGCATCTTACGATATGTAGTTTGCTCGAATTGGCCACTTCAATTTCTGATCATTCCCTTGTCAGCTAGAAATTGAGAAAACGAAGTTTTCTGTTTGTCTTCATGTTTTTTCCAAACAATGCTGAGATGTTCTAGCACTACAGTTGTATACCATAGGAGCGTGAGTGTGAATTTTCAATTCTTTACAGCAGCTGGTTTACGAAAAATATAGAATTTTGCAACTAGGCTAGAAAAATTTGGAAAAGGAGAGCTAGATTCGTCATTTCGCGTGAACTAGCAGTTCTAGAAGGCTGAAAATGTAAAATTTTACTGCTAACGGCATGTACTATACAATTGTTAGTGCTAGAAAATCTCAGTATCAATATGGAAAAAACATGAAAAACTTCGTTTTCTCATCGTCTAGCTGAGAAAAAAATACAGCAACTGGGTAGATAAATGTCTTAAGTGGAATGTCTACGTGAGCAAGAAAGAAATTTTGTGGGAGCTTTTTGAACGAAGTTACAATTTTGTTTTGATTGGTCTTAAATTTTTCGGACGCATGGTTTTATTTTCAGTTCGGCCTAAAACTTCGCGTGGATCAAACATGGTGTAGATATTTGAGCTATCTTGTAAAGCTAGGTTTGCGCTATCTAATGATATGTCGAATTCTATTTGGGATATAGGATTATTTTGGATTATTATCGTCTGTACCTATTTTGGTGCAGGAATTATGCATCAACCTAATGAATTTAGTTGGCAAAGAACTGTTTTTTGCATTATTCGGACGAATAAGCGCAAGACTTCCAGACCGTAAGAAACAACTAATGGTTTTCCTATGCTCTCACTTCAAAAAACCGTCAGAAATTTGAAAAAAATGTATCTTATTCCAGGCACAGTGCAAAAAAACATGCGACCACTGCGACGACGAGACAATCACCACTAATCCACCAACCACTGAGATACCAGCTACCACTTCTCAAAATGGAGTTGGTAAGTACCAAACATACATTTTTTCAGAGTCGAAACGTCTGGATGTCCACTTGTTGATTGTTATGCTTACATATATAAACTGCGGTTCATAGTCATACGAACACCCAAAATTTTGTAAGTTTTTGGACTTTTTGAGAGAAACGCAAAAAGCCGTTGGTACCACGCGATAGAACACAGCCGAAAACCGTATATGATCCATAAGAATGAAAATCGATGTCAGCTGTAGGAGTGTTTTTCCGCCTAATGCGAATTTTCCGCGGTTCATATACGAACACCTCAAACAAAGGTCCATTTTTCATTCAAGGTTGCAATCATTTGAGCCCAATTTTTTGTAGAGTTACAGTAACAAAGTCTGATATATCTGCTATACACTAAGCCCAGTGCAGTTCAAAAAAGAGGACCTTACTTTTTCAAAAGGCTCTAAATGCTTTTGGAGTGATTGGGCTCCAAAAACATCCGCTCTTCTGTGGTTCACGCCCTCTAATTAGCTAAGCTAATGAAATAAAATAAGCTCTTTCGATAGGTATTTTGTTTAACGCTCGGAAAATCTTTGCGTTTTCGTGCCGTTTTTCAACCAAGTTCCAACCTTACCACAGTGTTAGCACGATTTCGAGCCTCAGAACTCAGCTTCTCTTTTGCGCAAACATTTGATATGAAGCAGCAGCATTGCCTGCATGATGTGTTTCTGTGCCAAAGTTTTTGGGTTTTTTCTAGAGCTGATCTTGCGGCTGTGGAGCTACAAATCAAATAAAGGTGTGATTGCAATCTTAAAAACAGTTTTTCTGGTGAAATAACGTCTGCGTGAGCAAAACAAACTCTCAACGCTGCTGATTTTTCTAGCCAAATATAAAGTCTTGTGAACTTCTACATACTATATGCTTACTTCATTGTACGGCTTCAGAAGCTGAGTTTTGAGGCCCGAAATCGTGCTAACTCTGTGGTAAGGTTGGAACTTGGTTGAAAAACGCCACGAAAACGCAGAGATTTTCCGAGCGTTAAACAAAATACCTATCGAAAGAGCTTATTTTATTTCATTAGCTTTGGTAGAAGCTAATTAGAGGGCGTAAACCACAGAAGAGCGGATGTTCTTGGAGCCCAATCACTCCAAAAGCATTGAGAGCCTTTTGAAAAAAGTAACGGTTTTCGTTCTGAACTGCACTGGGTTCAGTGTGTAGCAGATATGTCAGACTTTGTTACTGTAACTCTTCAAAAAATTTGGACTCAAGCGATTGCAATCTTGAGTGAAAAATGGACCTTTGTTTGAGGTGTTAGTATAATTATGAACCGCTAAAAATTCGCAGTAGGCCCCGAACAGACTTCACGCGACCTAATCGTCGGGATCTAATCGCCAAGATTTCCATTCATTTTCATTTCACATTCAAAAATTTCGGGCTGGAAAAGTATCACAACCGAATGCAAGTTGATTGGCATGGAATGATGTTGTAACAGTTGTCTCGTCGCGATCTAATCGCCAAGATTTCCATTCATTTTCATTTCACAATAAAAAATTTCGGGCTGGAAAAGTATCACAACCGAAATACAAGTTGATCGGCATGGAATGATGTTGTAACAGTTGTCTCGTCGCGATTCAGTCGCGACGATCAAATCGCGTGAAGTCTGCCCGGGGCCTTAGGCGCAAAAACACTCTTACAATTGACATCGTTTTCCATTCTTATGAATCATATACCGTTTTCGGCTGTGTTCTATCGCGTGGTACCAACGGCTTTTTGAGTTCTTCCCAAGAAGTCCGAAAAATTTTGGGTGTTCGTATAATCACGAACCGCACTTTATTACACTATTCTAGCTTCTACTTCCGCTTCAAAAGAGGCCACCACAACTGTGCCTTGTGGAGCAGACTCAAGGCAAGTCAAAAAACATCGGTTTTTTTTACTAAGACCATTTTAGATGTGAGATATGGAAGCAGAATGGGTTCTGTGGCAACAGTGGTTATGATTATGAGACGAAGAAGACGTTTTGTGGCCAAGTTTGTCGTATTTGTTAAGCCCAGACACAGGCATACTCAGTTCACCTATCCACGCTTTGTTTGTGAAGTTGAGTTCAATGAATATTGTTGCAAGAGTCCTTTCACCAACAAAGGCAGCTCTCTTCATCAAATTGAAACATCTCACAGACATCAAACTTATAGGCGGCACTTCTGGCCGTCCAAATATTTCGGTATGAATCAAAGCTATGGTTGTAAGAAGGTACTTTCATCTTCACAAAATTCTTAAACGAGTTCACTGAATACACTTTATACAACTCATAATGCTTGGATATGATAACATTAGCTGGTGGCTTTGAAGTATAACATAAAGTATTGCCTAGTTCAAATTATTCTTGGTTATTGGCCTGTAATATACCTTGAAAGCATATTCTCAGGCTTATGAAACGATAATAAATGCATTTAAATAACTTCACGGATAGTGTACTAAATTAGAAAATTTCTAGAGCATTTGGCTCGCACATTCAGGTCGCTATTTTGAACATCGTAATTTTATTCGTGATCATCGGATGTGATGACTAAAAAGGATATTCCAAATCAGCTTCAGCGATATTGCTGCAAATCACCATTCGAGACAACGGCTCCAATTCGTTAAATTTTTAACTTTATCCAAACAGTACGTAGAAGATTTCTATATCGCGCACATGATAATGTGCGTTTGAGGAGTTTGATCCCCAAATTTCTGAAAATAAAAAAGAATGAGCAGCGTTCAATAACTTGGATGTGCCCATAATGTATATATAAACGTTGTTTTGGGTAATTGATGACATAAATGAAAAATTTAGAAATTCGCTCAAAAATGTGCTGAGGAAAATTTCGTTGCAGTAGAAATTCGAAGCTTCGCAACATAGTTACCGCTCCCGTCTTATAAAGAATGTTGCGCAAAGTGACACTATCTCTTTGTAAACGCTCGGAATGCTGTGGTTAGTCAAATTATAAGGCTGTATAAAAAATGTCTCCGATAAGATATTGTCAACTTATCCATGAAGTTTTCTCTGCACTCCCACTAAACAATTTCTGTGAAAAAAGTTGGACTCTTCCAAATCCTCCAAAAAACAAAAAGTTTTTTTGTTCACCAGATAAGCATTATTGTCAGCTGTGTGTGAAGATGTTACCATAAAAAATCTTAACTTTCCTTATGTATACTAATTTTAGAGGAAACAATGAAGCTTTAAGAAATTCTTGATGTACTCTGTTTATTTGACTTATTATCTCTCAATGGGATTCAAGGAATTGAGAAAAATGATGGGCAGAGGAAAAATTCTATGGCCAGTCAAGTTATAGAGATGAAAACAAGCACTTTCGCTATCTCTAGCAATGTCTCCATAGTGTTCCTTGGTTTCCGTCATTTGATTTTTTAGAGGAATCAATGAAGTTCAAAAGGAAATCTTGATGCGTTTTTATTCTTTTGACTTTTGATCTCTTAAAAGAATTCAAGGAATTTAGAAAAATATGATGATTATTAGGAGGGAATATTTGGGCGGAGGGATTAAGACATCCGATGCATAGTTGCTCATTTTTTACAGAAACCTTTCCCCGAGTGGCTTTCCAAAAGTCTGTAGCGCATATGTAGAGGTTTTTTCGCACCCTTTCGCGGATATGGGTTTCCAAAGCAGTGTGTTGAAATTTCAGTTGGATTTTCTTCGCTTGAATGGGTAATTGTCCAGCCTAGGTTCATAAGTCACATCATAATAAGAATTTAGGATTAAGAGAACAATTAACAGCAGAATCTAAGGGTGTTTCAAACATGTATACATTGCCTGATCGTTAAAAAAACTTTTCGAAAAGTCTTTCGCCTATAGGGCATTCGGAAAATCGTGACCATGGCGCTACCGCGCGCGACACGCACGCAGTTCTGACGTCCGAATTATCCCGGTTCTTCTTCACTCAAATGGTTTTTCTGTTCATCTATGATAGTATTTAGACACTAGAAGTGACTGAGCTGAGCGTTTGGGTGATGCATCCTTCTATGTGTGTTTCATGCTCCTGTGGGCGCAAGGACCGCAAAATCCGTCGCCACGGCTTCATAAACGACCTATACTTCAGGTAACATTTTGTAGGTGCTAGCTTCAGATTAAATTTGCAATATTAAGTTATTCGGTTATTTGCTGTAAAATCAAGGTAGAAATTTTCAGCATACACCGCTTTGTAAAAAAGGCCGTTGTCGATAATAATAGAATAATTATCGATCATTAATTTATATTGTATATTATTCTTGTCGTTGACAAACCATTCTAGCGTGGAACACTTAAGCCGCCAAGGTCCCCCCCCCCATTGCTGCTTGATAGCACACTTGGCAGCTATTACTTTCATGTAAGCACCAATAATTTTCGAGTGATACCTGTACGGTACTATTGTTTGCCAGAAGGAAGCAACTAGGTTGCCACGCCCAAAATAGTGGCATAAATAGACCTGGATGCTCACTTCTGAACTCGTCTCGCCAAATCTATATTCCACTGGAATTGTTTCCCGAATAAACAATTCCTTCAACGTAGTGGCATCCAATATTGGTAAACACCAAATTGGTGCATCGGCCCACGGATCACTTTCTGGCGTTTGCTACCCAGGAAGCTGATAAATTTCCGCGTGGCAGGACCATATACCACTAATTAATCGAAAACCTCTTGCGCGCTCTGTTCGTCAGAGACCAGAGGCTAGTAAAGACGTTAGTTGGTAATCATTTACCACTGAATATTGAGCCCCACTTGCGCGCTATTTTCGTAAGAGACCAGTGGGTAGTAAAGAAAACACAGCCGGTATTAACCACTGTATATTGAACCCCACTTGCGCGCTCTTTTCGTAAGAAACCAGAGGGCAGTAAAGGCGTCAATCAACAGTAGCTGACCACAGAATTTTCTGAAAACTTTCCTAGCGCGTCTTTTTCGTAAGGAACCAGGAAGTGGGAAGAATTTTTTTTTGTGAAAACACCCAAATTATAGTGAAACTCTCTTGCGCGTCCTTTTCGTAAGGAACCAGAGAGCGGAACAGTTTTGCGGTCAGAAGTCTCATAGTTCATTCAAGAACTGTTGAACTTCAAGGATTCCTCAATCCTCTACTGAGTAAGGTCCAAACCTACCAGTCAGCACAGCGTTCAAGCCAACGGCGCGCTTGCTAGGTAACTAAAAAAAGCTACGCACTCCACTGCTAAGCTCACTAGTGACTAGTTTTCTTGCACCCAGCAAGGAAAAATCCCACAGAGGTCCAGGTCCAGCCAACCTCCACAGTTCTCGACAGCTGCGAGTACTAAGTACCCAGTCAGAACTTTACTACAAACAAAGACCTGCAGTGCCAAAGCACGCAGACGACGAAAGCGCAAAGAATATAACCATGCGCACAAGGCAGACGATGCTTGAGCTAACTCTATATAAAGTTCGCATTTCTATGGCTTGCTCATCAATCAGCGGTCTTGAAGACAAGGTCCGCAATATTGATAAAGCTTTTGAGTTTCCCAACACCGCAACCGAATGCAACGCCTTTATAGCGGACAAAATAGCAGAGATTGATGAACTGCAAATTACCCTAACAGGTTTACTGGAAAACCTGGAGGCGCAAGTGCAAACTGCCATGAATTTTCTTGGCGCAAAAAAGGACCAGTCAGACAAAGATAGATTGATTAACGATTTGACTGCCTTCCTAAGCACAGAAGCAAACGGACTAAAGCTTGAAGGTATCAACTGGACCAACAGGTTGAAATATCGAACGAGGGAATTAGAAAAACAGTCAAGTGTAATCCACTCATTAGCATCGTCCTCGATGCGATCACCAGTACCGGACACGGACACGGATATAGGCCGTCCGGGCTGCGCACCGAGAGCAACGCTGTTGCGTACATTGAAGGCAGTTCACGACTGGAAGAAGCGCAGAGAAAAACAGGCGGCGAGAGTGCACGAGGAAAGAGGAGTAACGCGCACTACACACCTTGCGCACTCTCCGCGTCCTGCGCGGACGGCCTATAGTTGTCTATCTACAAGACAACACACTGAGAACAGGGATTACCAGTGCTTGAAGTTCCAACGTTTAGTGGAAGCTACAAGGACTACCCGACGTTTTGGACGATCTTCAATTCGCTTATACACAGCAACGCACAGCTTACCGACACTGATAAGTTCCTATTTTTGAGGCAAGCACTAAAAGGACCTGCTGCTTCTATGCTTGGCAATATTCCTGTGATAGAAAAAAATTACGACAAAGCTGTAAAACTCCTCGACAAGAGATACAACAAGTCCGGATGCATAGCTGATCTTCTCATCATAGAACTCGAAAAACTTCCGCGAGCAAAGGAAGACGCCAGTAGCTGCCGAAAAATGCTAACCGATGTGACTGAGAAACTCACTCACATTGAGTGTGCGGGAGTCACCTTGGACAATGGACGAATGTGGAGACGCTTGATATTCTCAAAATTCCCAGCATCACTGAGCGAAAAGGTGTTCAGCAAAGAGCAAAATGAAGACAAACCGTTTTCTACCGAGGAAATACTAGACATCCTGGAAAGTGCGGTAGCACTCAGAGAAACAATCGCCCTTTCAACGGACACATTCCAAGAACGCGTGACCTTCAGCTAAAGCAACCGTTCAAATTTCAACAAGGAATCGCAGAAGCGACCTCAGCGATTTGAGCAATCGAGTAGGATACATGCAAGAAATGGAACACAATCTCGTTGCCTTTGTAAGTACGACTCACTCTGTCTCACAATGTCCAACTCTGAGGACTCCAGATGTACGTCGAAGAGAAGCAGCTAAGCGAAAAGTGTGCTGGAAGTGTTTCGACCAAAGCCACCGCTCAAGCGAGTGTAAGACATCGGGACCCTGCCCCAAATGCAGCAAGGATCACCATTCTGCACTCTGCACGGCCGACCGCTTTCCCACGAATTCGTCTGCTACACCAACGACACAGCCGCGATTCAATGACATAAAACGACCAGGCAGAACAAAAACCTCACAAAGCGCTGAAATTATCTACCTCCCCGAAATGGAGAAGAAACAATACGTGCTGATGACAGCGACAGCTCTGGCATTCAATTCCAATACAATGGACTACGAGACTGTCACAATATTCTTTGATACAGGAGCACAAAAAAGCTTCATCACAAGAGAAAAGCATCGATCTGCAACTCCCCGTAATTGGGACTTCGGACTCTGTCAGCGGATTTGGAGGAAAAGCCGAAAGCTTCAATTCCGACGAAGTTTCACTCACGCTAAAAAAATCCATAAGCGGACAAGCAATAAAGAATATTGCTATACACACGAAGACTCCACTGACCTCTGCGATGAACACAGCGAAATTAAATGTTAACGACAGAAGAATTCGAAGGGAGAAAATCAAAGTAGCTCAAACTACTCTTGACGACAAAATAGTCACTCCAGACATTCTCATTGGACAGGATCTCATCGACAACTTCATACTGCCTGTTGCATAACATTACCATCGGGTCTGATTCTCACACTAACGGTATTTGGCTATGCAATCTCCGGAAAAAGTTCAATTAAAGGAACCGACACTTCCATTCACTCCAACACGATTCTCGTCGCGACCCCCGTAATCAACAACGCTAAGGAGGAGTACAAGCAAGACATCAAGAATCTGTATGAACTTGAATCCCTCGGCATCAAAGTTGACAAAGACAGCGATGAAGAAGCCGTTCTACAATTTATGGAAAAATATAGAAGTACGATCTCGATTGGAAACGGTAGAATCACAGCCGGATTTCCGTTCCTGGACAACGTCTCCAAGCTGAAAAAGAAGTTCAATGTTGCAGTCAAACGCCTTCAAACGTCGATTCGCCTCTTGCAGAACGACTCAGAAAAGATGAGCTTGTAGAGCGCGGCTCTGCAAGATTACAGTCAACAAGGAATAATCGAGGAAGTACAAGAACATGAAGCATGTGGCATAACAACGTTCTACTTGCCGCATCGTCATGTTTGGACCCCAGGAAAAAGCACTCAACTCAGGATTGTGTTCGATGCATCATCACACGCCAAAGGAGAGTTGAGCCTAAATGACGTCATCCATCAAGGGTACTCCCTTACCTCCTGCATTTTCGACATCCTACTGAAATTCCGAACTTACGACAACGCCATGGTGGCTGACATCCAAAAAGCCTTCCTGCAGATTCAACTACCAAAAGAACACAGAGACGCAACAAGATTTTTATGGATGAACGACAATTCGAAACCGCCTGTGGGTAGTAATATCAAATACTACAGGTTTTGTCGAGTACCATTCGGAATCAACGCTGGACCAGCAATACTGAAGGCACTTTTGAAGCATCTTGAATCCTTCACAAGCGATACGCTTCGAGAGATATCGGATATGCTTTATGTGGACAATGTGATACTGGGAGGAAAAACCGAGGAAGATCTCTTTGCGAAATATCTCGAATCCAAAGACGTGTTCGGCAAAGTTGGAATGAATCTCCGGGATTACCTTTCCAACTGTCTTGAAGTGAACAACAAAATCCCGTCGCAAGATAGAGCTGATTCCAATGCCATAAAAGTGCTAGGACTAAATTGGCACAGCAACGTCGACCATTTAAGTCTTGTCTGCGCCTCGAAAACGCAAACACAAACTACCAAACGTTTCGTTCTCAGCCAGATCAATGGACTTTGTTTCGATCCGTTAGGATTACTTACGCCTCTCCTCACCAACGCAAAAACCTTCCTTCAAGACTTGCATAAGAAGAAGTTAAAATGGGACGATCAGTTATCGAAGGAGGACTGCGAGATCTGGAGCACAATTGTGAAGAACATGACTAACTTCTCCGTGACACTACAAAGACGAGTAACACAACAAGAAGGATGCAAAACCCCCACACTTTCGATGTTCGTCGATAGTTCAAAGAGAGTCTATGCCTGTGCAGCTTATATCACGACTGAAACGGATGAAGAACACCACTACACAAGACTGTATAGTGCGAAGTCAAAGGTAGCTCCCATTGGAAGCTTGAACTCTTAGCCATATTCATTGGCATGAATATGCTGGAATACATCGTTACCAAGAGCGGCTTGAAGTTCGACAAGATAAATCTGTTCAGTGACTCTACTATAGCCCTCGCTTGGACCCACTCCAAAAAACGACTTCCGTCTCTTGTTACCACATTGACGCAAAAGGTACAATTGACCAGAGAACGTCTTGAACAGTACCAACATGTTCACTTCCATCACGTTTTCACAGAAGAAAATGTTGCCGACTATGCAACACGGAGCCTCTCACGAACGGAAGCCCAAGATCACATATGGTTCCACGGTCCACAATGGCTCAATCGACGCAAGCAAAATTGGCCCACTCGCCGCATAGAATGCATAACCAAAGAAGAAGAAGAAGACTGCTTCGCAATCCTCAGCACGATGGTAGCACCGTTTATTCCGGAAAATCCGAGAATTTGGCCTACCGAGCGTATATGCAGTTACGACAAGCTGAAACGAATCGTTGCTTACTCCTTGCGATTCATACGCAAGACTAGCAAAGGCAGATTCTATCCACTTGCTGAAGAATGTGAAACATTTAATGATAACCCAAATGCTCAAGAGATGATCATAGCAGAGCGTCATCTACTTCAAGAAGAACAACGGCAGTCTGACTTGCAATCGATGATGAAGAGCTGCAAAAATAAGAACGTAAAAAGCGATGCACAAGGGCTCGCTAGGAAATTCGGCCGTTTACAAAACTCAGAGTTGGACTACGACCGTGAATCCTATATACCTTCCCCGAAAAGGACTATTGAACACCAGAATAGCAGAGGATCTACACAAAACTCTGGTCCATTGTGGCACTAATCAACTGGTCAACTCCCTTCGCAAAAGATTCTGGATACCAGCAGACAGAAGCCTTTGCAAAAAGACCATTCGGAACTGCGTCACATGTCAAAGGCATAACGCCGTTCCCTACAAGTTCCCACGCATGGGTCCACTACCATCCGAAAGAGTCACAAAAGCACCACCATTCAGCTTTACCGGCGTAGACTTGATGGGACCAGTAACCATTAAAAATATCAGCAATGAAGATGAAAAACGCTACGTGGTGTTATTTACCTGCCTGGTAACACGGATGGTTTACTTGGAAGTAGCGAAAGATTATCAGCAAGAAATTTCCTCCTAGCCTTCAAGCGGTTCACATCTAGAAGAGGTGTCCCATTAAGAATGCTAAGCGATAATGGCACCAACTTTCGCTTGACTGAGACCATTCTTCGACGCAATGTACCTCCGCTGTGCTCAGAATTCTCATTATTTCTTGCAAAGCACAACATACAGTGGAACTTCATACCTCCAGCGTCTCCTTGGATGGGAGGAACATGGGAACGAATGGTTGGAACCGTTAAGAGGACGCTGCTTAAAACGATAGGACGACGGAAAATTTCTGAAGAAATCTTCTACACGGTGCTTTGCAAAATCGAGTCCGCCGTTAATTCCCGACCACTCACAGTCACCGGAAAAAATGATGAGGTGTATGACGTGCTTCGTCCCGTTGACTTCATCTACAAAAACATACGACACGGCATGAAAATTATCACTCAAGATGACGAGAGTCAGGAAGACCCACCATACCAAGCAAATCCAGAACTTTCCACGCAACGCGATGCAAAGAGAGCTATTTCTGAAGCTGAAAAGCTTACAGCGAAGTTTTGGGACAGATGATAAAACCGAATACCTTACGGAGTTACACGACCGCCATGTGCTGTATGGAAGCAACTACAAGTCTGCTAACAATCTTCCTCAAATTGGAGACATCGTACTCATTGATGATGACTTGAAAATGTCTAGAGATCACTGGCCAATGGGTCTTATACCAGAGCTGATCAAAAGCAGAGACGGTGAAATCAGAAGCGCCATCCTTAAAACAAGCAGCGGAAGACACATCCAGCGCCCTATCAATCGCCTTATTCCATTGGAGATACATGCTTCCACTTCTCCTGACGCAGTGACGGAGGTTCGACATGAAGACGAACAAGTGTAACGCAATGAGGCATCCCAAGAGCTACAACAACGACCACGTTTGGCGCGGAAAGCAAAAAGGCCTGTCAACTACAGCGAGAACATGGCAATTCTTCGACCGCGACTCGCCATATCAAAAGCTCCAATCATGCTACTAGCCCTAACAGCGTGTTCACTACTCACCTCTGTAGAAAGTACGATACTCAAATGCACGGATACTGGCTTTTTTCTTGATGTGAAATCCCTTGATGACAACATCAAGAGCGAGATATGCATAAATCACATGGATTGTCAGGCTATTCATCCAAACCAACTACCACTACATGGATACCTCTTGCCACGTCAAATAACCAGCCCATACTCCGTTAGATGGCGTGGTATCATCAACATCACTCAACAAGAAGAAGAAGTTAAGTGCCCAGAACAATCCGTGTGCAATTCCATACATTGCACCTTCTGTCCTCTCCTTCTGGGAAATCCACAATGTTTTCCAACAACCACGATCGCAGTGGTGACCACGATGCTTTACATCATTGCATTACTCACTATTGCCTGCGCATATCTCGGCGCAAACAGGATACTTCTGCTTAAACGAAGATGGAACCTGTACAAGGCACGCACCGCGGATAATACACCGCCTCCATTTCTAGCCGATACCTTGGAGATGCAGTCAAGGAAACCTATGGACACCCGCCAGCGAAAGAGTTCTGGTGGTCAGTCAACGCGCTCAAAGCTTCTCTTCGTTTTGTCCATTCTGGCCACAGCAAACTGCTGCCAGCACACCCACGTTCTCAACACCAAAGACGTGATCTGTGATGGCTACGGTAAGGACGCAAGACGCAGAAATGTCGAAGAGCACACGTTCACGATTAGCAACTTCAAACGAGAAGTCTGCATGAAGATTGTATACAAGGATGAGCTCGTAGCGACAATGCATTGAAGCTTGACAGCGTTAGATATGACTGTATCCCTGTCACCCACTTCTTCACGAGGAATACTGAACTAAGGACAATATCGTCAAAACGCTGTGCTCGTGCTGGAAGCTGCACGCAGCACAAGTGTCAGACCACAGGCCAGAATTCCTACATTCCTGAGCTGAATAGTTCCTACCACTCTCCTGGAATTGCACGATGCCAAGAATCCTGCGGAGGAATCGGTTGCGGCTGCCTTCTACCCATGCCGGGCTGTCTATCCTCTCGTACATACCCCACACCAGAAGACGACCTCATATACGAGGTATTCTCATGTCCAGTATGGAGCAAAACTGCACGACTACGCGCTCATTTGAGTTTCGTCACTGGAAGAGAGGTTACAAAGGAAATGGATATCTCGCCACAAGAAACCGTACAATTTGATAGGATGAACCTCACGATTTCATTACCGCTCCCATAATTCCTACACTGGACAGGCGATTTGTTCAAGTATACAACCAAAGCGATCTGGCTACAATGGTATCCTTACCCGACGACATCTTCTCGGTTAAGTGCAACTCTTCAGTAACGGCAAGAAATCTGACGAAATGCCGAGTCATGGACACTTGCAAATACACATCCAAAATCACAACAGTTTTGTGTCGCTGTGCCAACATCAACATTACGGAAAGAATGTCATCCCTTGACACTCGCTTACCAATACTCAACTCGGAATTTCCCCTGGTAGCTGAATCGGGTTCAGTAACCATGCTGAGTCATGCATCCGTTGCTGAAATTTCCATAGCAACGATTGCACAGTGGAAAACAGCTACAGTCATCGTTCCCACCACCTGCGATGTCCAGGTAACGCAAGCGAAAGGATGCTACAACTGTCTTCAAGGAGCAAAAGCCGTCTTTACTTGCACCTCCAAGATCGATACGATATTAGAAGTGATCTGCTCGGACCATCACTACATAC